ATTTATTTCTATATAGGTTTTAAACCTGGTATTTATTAAAGCCAACCAATGGTTACAATATTATAAAGGCATGTTTAGATACAGATCTTAATGCTAATAAAGATTGATCACTGTTTAATGACTTAGTAATTGTGAGGTGTCATTTCTAGAAGTCTGGACTTAAAGGTAAATGACCATTTAATTTAGTTTTGAATCGGCTCTTCTGCTTTTTCTCAATTAGATTTGACTAAAGTTATAATTTCATTCTGCAGGCAAACAAATTGGTATTATCAGAAGTTGCCACCTTTTCAGACCAATTCAGACCAATTAATTTTACTATAAATCTCTAAAACACTTTAAATTTAAAAATGGGCATTGACGACTGACAATAATGGTCGAATATAAATATTCTAACCCTTTCTGAAACTTCAATCTTCTTTTCAAGTAGGAATGTTCTTTATGTCTCTTACATTAAGTTTGTGTCTCTCTTCTTAGTGTCTCAATTACCATAGGGACTGGTTGAACCAAGTCCACCGCCCCCACCTGTAAGGGGGCCCCCAATCCCCCAGAAGCAAATGCAGGAAAGCACAATTTCCCGGGAGGAGTCCAACCCACTTTAGTCCACGGGTCCATTCACCTAGTTCAGCCATTTATTATATTTAGTTCGACGTGTTTAATGCGAGAATGAAGCCACTTTGCAGAAAACCTTTTCTACATGTAGTATGGGCATCCAAAACTACTGGGAATTCCTCCTTTAAAACCCACCCTAAATTCGCATTTTGCTAACCCTTTTGTAAATAGATTAAAAGACCCAAAGAATTTTATATCATTCATGATTCAATGTTTTTTTTCAGTGAGCTTTTGATATCCAGTACAGAGCACTTTTAAAGAAAGTATATCAGGATTTTGCGAATCCGAAAACGTACCAAAAGAAAGAGTCTACAACATTTGAAGAACGTGACGTAAACGTAGGTATGTATAACAATATACAAAGATATAATAAAAAGACTAATTTATATATTCACTGTATAGACCAATATGTCACCATTGCCATAGGATTCAATAGTTATTGATAGTCGTTTGTATAAATATCTCAGAAGCAATGACACTCGTCATTGATAAAATAATAATAAGAACTTTAGTAATACAAAAACCTCCTTTACACGTATATTGTGTTATAAATACATATTATTTTCTATTATAAATCCCTACCTATCTATAGTCGTTCAGTCATAAGGAAAATACTTTTCGTAAAGGCAATTAGCCTTGATTTTTGCACTAAATCGTCTTGTTTTTCTCGGAAAGTGAGCAATAACATATTTTTTACTATTTTCAACTATTTTCAACGAAAGTGTTCATATTATTGGAATATTATTCTAAACTTAGTTTAATATGAAGATATTGGAATAAAATCTCTATTCACTGTGAAGAATTCAGTTCGTATCAAAAGAGAAGGTAAGTTTGATACCATTCAACAGATTAAGACTTTTATAATTAAATTTAAAGAGAAAGAAAGCTTATGGTTGTCTTTAGTTTTTCCCGACTTTGTTTTTTTAGTAGGATGGGAAAGTTAAACGCTTAAAATAATGAAAATTTTAGAAACTCTATAGAAATGTGTCCCGAAAGTTTTATATAGAAGTGTCTCTCCATTAATTTATACAATGCACAAACTATTTAAAAGGTTTAGATAAACCTTATTAAGTCGTTTTAACTTTTAGTGTCAATCCATTTCGAGAGAAAGAGACTAAGAGAGAAAGGCAGATAATTGAATTACACATTAAGATGACAAATTAAGTACCTAACTTTGAATCTGAAAAGAAAGTTGGGAGTTTTATAATATTGATAGCCTATAATTTAATTAAAGGGACTGATGCGCCATTTTTCGACCAATTGTAGCTTAGTCTCAGAAACTGGATTTTTTTTAGCCAAGCACAGCTCGAAATTTGAGCCTTCAAATCCATGTGTGTCCATAATTATCTGCGTTTGAATCTTAAAATAACGCCTCGTCATTTTAAAATACTTTGTGATACAATGTATAGCCTATTGAAAAGACATAATATAGCAATATTGAGTAAAATTTCTATAGTTTGAAGTATTTTTAAAGGACTTACGCTGTTTTCGTACATATCTAGCTTCTGAAGACTATTTACATATTTTTAAGACAAAAATCAACCCACTAAAATGGAGCACACGTCCCTTCCCGAGAAATTCTGAATATAATTACTAGAGACCTACCAACAGCAAGTACATTTACAGAGTAAGAAAGAGTATTAGAAATCAAATTAATTGGATTTGCAGAAAAGGTTCAGCACTATCATAATTTAAGGGAAATTCGTTTCTGCGTTCAAAGAAGTCAAATCATTGTAATATATATATAGCAAATGGGCGGATATTTTCTGATTTTCTAATCGAAGATCGAAGTTTATTTTTAAAGAAACATTTATTTACTTCCATTGTCATGTCCTTTTAGAAGCTTTGTATATGTGCGAAAATGTGCCTCGTTAAATTAAAAGTGAAAGTAGAAGAGAGATTTTGACTTTTTCTCTGTATCCAGCTATGACCTTAGATGTCAATTCTTAACTGTTTCAGGATGTCTACACCGGCTTTAGTTCTGGAGAACCAGCCAGTGTGTAATATCTGTTATAATAAACCATCAGATCCAGTAAAGATACCATGTCAACACCAGTTCTGCCGATCATGCATCAAACAATACGTCATCAACTGCCCAGAAGCAGATAAATTCAAAGGATTTGGTTGTCCAGTATGTCAAGAGTTTGTACAGAAGCCTATAATGGCTGGATCACGACCTAAAGAACAATGGGCTGAATATCTACCAACTGTCAATCTTTCTGATAGAAAACCTGATCTACTTTCAGGACAAAATGATGGTAAGACACCTTTATCTTTATACGAATTTCACAGAAGATTACCATTACCTTCCAGGCCTTCTAAATAAAACGTAAACCTCATCATCTCTTTTCTTTGAATTTGCAACATTCCTATATTCAATCAGACGTCTATGGTTCCTGTAATTCCACGAACACTATTTGTTTGATGACGTCAAGGCCTTAAGTGATAAAGCATTATTTTGCAATTAGTGACGTCATCAAATACTTAATGAATAGATTCAATTAGATACATTCAGGTATACCCCGGGGCCTGGTCTCTGTGTCTTTCCAAACAACCAAAGTGTTGTCTTCTCTTTTCAGATCTAAAATGTGCAGCATGTCGAGAAGCAGGACTACAGAAGATGGCCACACTGTGGTGTCAGCAGTGTAATGATGCATATTGTCCAGAATGTTCGGCGTCACACCGAAATTTCCCGTCAACTAGATCTCACGCCCAAGTACCCATAGCTTACATTTCACCAAGAGATAGAAAGAGCAATGAATCCCAAACCTGTCCACAACACCGGGATAGCAAGGTGGAATTTTATTGTGCTGCCTGCGACACGCTCATCTGTCCATCTTGTGCATTTGTGAATCACAGGAAATGTGAAAAGGTGGCTACCATTAGTGGTGCAAGCAATGTTGCCAAAGGAGAATTGTCAAACAAGATCCAAAGAGTTCGCAAGCGGTCCACGGAATGCCAAAGCATGTTATCTGACAGTAACACAATGATCAGAGAACTGCAGGTCAGTCGAGAACGAACAGAAGCCTCCATCAAAGGATTTTCTGATCAACTGACACAAACAATTGCCGAAAACAGAGATAACATGCTATCCAACATATCCCATTCTTTTAATACCGAAGAAAGTCGGCTTCAAACAACAAAAGCTAAATTACAGGACCATATCGTGGAACTGGAAGGATGTGAACAGAGCATTGAAAATGTTCTGAATTCTCCTTCCGAAGCGGAATTACTTAGTAAACTGGGCAAGACTAAGAGACTTTACGATGCATCGCTGCAAAAAGTAATCGAACCCGCTGAAATTGTACCAATCAAGGTAGATTTCGAACCAAACACTTCGTTACTGGATGTTCTGGATTCCTCTCAGCTCGGTGAAACAATAGTTGGCTCTGTAGATAAAGAAAAACCGAGACTTGAAAAAGGTGCAGAAGAACAAGTGGATCAGTTGAAGAGCATCAAAATCAAGGCTAAAGAAAGAAAAACTTCTAAGCAAAAAGTGAAATTTAAAAAATCGAAACGGTCAAAGCGACGAGGGTCTGGTTCGGAGGTACTTTCTTCCCACCAAGGAGCATCGTCCTCAAGAAGTGAGAAGTTGAAAGCGCCAAAACAAGAGAGGGTAAGGGTCCTTCAGAAGCATAAAACTATAACTACAGATATACCTGGAGACAGTTTGAAATCCTCGACCACAAGTATTGTAGTATTGTTTGTAAATGGGGTATTGACAATCGTAGTGGCAGATCATAATAACTATGCTTTAAAATCATTCTATACCAGTATGAACATTGATAGACAATCTAAAATGTCTGTAGATTCTAAGCCTTGTCACGTGGCAAAACTTGGAAACAATACTGTCGTTGCTACCATGAAGCGTTTGAAGAAGATCGTAGTCGTAAAAGTGAGTCCAACGTTAACCATGGTAGATAGGATCCGTACCAGTAAGCATTATAATTGCATTACAGCTCTGGCCGACGACCGCTTGGCTGTAAGTACTACTCTAGAAGCTGAAGTCTCTATTGACATCATAGATCTTGAAGGTCAGATTCTACATTCCATTGTCCCAGATCCAGAGGAGCATCTTCTCTTCTCTGAACCTAAATATCTAACAGTCACGCCATCTGGTACATTAATGATGGCTGACAAAGATGTTCCGTACATCACCAACTTCACACAAGCTGGGAAACTTCTTTTCAAAACTGGTCCTAAACAAACTGCCGATTTGGAAGGTATGCATGGATTCTTCTGCAGCGAGGACGAAGAACTGTTCATCCCCGACAAGAAAAACAACCGTATCATAATACTGCAAGAGGATGGTGAAGAAATCACGACATTTTTGACAGCTGAAGATGGTATTGATCAGCCACAAGGGGTATTTATTGATGACCTCTATCAAATTTACGTCTGTCAAGCTAACAGTAAAATAACCATATTTAAAGAAGTTGAAATAGCTGTAAATTGAGTTAGAATTGTAAATCACAAACTATTGTGGCAATTATTAGAGAAAAGGGTAACGTGAATTGGTACTGTTCGACCTCTGTTCAGATAAGCATTTTGCCAATTATATGCATTGTAATATCAACTCCTAAATTTTAATAATGTTACCTTCCCAAATTAAATATTTTCAATTGTTGAATTAACAAGCCTTTGTTTTTTTTATTGACTCATGACAATCTATATGACATGTTATTTGAATTCCATTGTTAATGATTGAAATGAATTCAATCTTAAAGGGACATGTGTGCCATTTTTTTTAAATAATCAACCTGAAGTCTCAGAATCGGGATTTTTTTTAAGCTAAGCCAATCAGTAATAGCGTCCACAGCTCACGTCGAAACTTGAGCCTTCAATCAAATCTATGTGTGTCTAGAATTACCCGCGTTTGAAAGTTAACATGACGACTCGTCTTTTCTTTAGACACTTGCAATAAAATGAAAAGAGAACTATTGAAATTTTCATCACTCAAATCAACACCCCAAAATTGGCGCATTCGTCCCTTTAAATTCACTGTAGTAGGAAAGTAGGATGAACACAACGCAAGATTTCAATAAATTTTATTACATTTATCATACAGAACTGTTCTTTTTCAATTACAACTTTTAAATCAAAATTTACAAAAGTACATGTTGAAATACTGTATTGTTCATATACATCGGATATTTCGCTCTTCCGCTATACAAACATTGATATCATGGTCGGATTAAGGTTCTTTAAGAGATTGTAAAGAAGTTTTCTAAAATTTTAATGTGTATCGGGAACACTGATTTACCAATTTGCACCATTCCAATTATCATTAAGACGACTGTGGTTCCTGCAATTCAACTAAAACTAAGCGTTTTATCACCAATCGAGAAGTCCTTAGTTGATATTGCAAATATTGCGATTAGTGACTTTTTATAACATTTGGTTTTAGTGGAATTGCAGGAACCACAGACGTCTGATTGAAAATTGGAATGATACTATAAGTGTCCTCAATACACATACAAAATTTAGAAAAACGCTTTATATCCAGACAGCTAATTTAATAAAATGCCTATTAATAATTTCTATCATATTCTTACCCATTCGTTTGATATCAAACAGTGGCTATGGCAGTGGGGGTACATACCAAGAAAAATGGTTTGCATCCGTTGTTGCTCCAAAAGATGTGTCACCACATCAATTAAATTTCCGAAAATACGCTTGGAAGAACCATTTCAGATGATCCGAGAAATGTTGCGACTGAAACGAACTGCTTTCAGATTTTGCCAGTCTCAGTACCGACAATACTTTTCTCTCAATCTATTATCCAAATTATGACCATCAGAATATTTGAGACTTTGGTCAACAAAGCCTTGATATTAAGCTTTCATAGTCTTTAAACTAATTTTTGACATAATTTCAAGTTTTATTAAAGAAGTCTCAAAAGCTAAATCATAGGCAAATACTTCTTAATGAGTTGCAGAACTAATATAATAGAAAATTTGAACCAAGGGATTGAAAAGGAACAAAAAAACAAGGTTATAAATTTGATGATAATCTGATTATAATACTTGTTATAAACCCCAATCATAACAAGTTTTACATATACAAATAACAAATACAAATACAATAATATTTGTTACTTTTACAAATTACACTTTTACTTCCTTATTTACATTTTTTGAAACTTTAAACCTTAATTTTACACAACTGTATATCACTTTCAAAACAACAGTCAAACTTATTTCCAAGTGTTTCCATACAAATAAAATAAATATCATATCAATTAAATACAAATAAAACATTTTAGGGTGATCTTCAATACTTTTTAACTGTTAATATCACTTCTTGTGTATATGCAATCATCATAAGAAAGAATTATAGGTTAGCTCAGTTTCATTCCACAAATGAACAGAACAAAATGAAGCAAAAATAATGATGCTATTTTAATGTACATGTTTCTGTGTTTCACTATTTTTTCACTGCATTTACCAAAAGGTTCTTATCTAATCAATAGAAGCTTTTGCAATAGTGACGTCATCAAATGTTTACTTTAAGTAGAATTGTCACGAACATCTGATTGAAAATTGGAATGAAGCAAATTGCTGCCATCAATGTCTCTTATACAATAAAGAGTAGAAAACCTCTTTAAAAAACAATGCCAGATAAAGTGCTGATATAAGTATATCTTAACTGTTGAGCTTATACTCAATATAACCGAGTTTAAATTCATATCAATTTTTTAAATATGTCTCCAGAGCTTAAGGATGATGACCTGTGTGATAAAAATAACAAATGTTCAAATAAATAAGAAGAAGTTTTTTTAATTCTACTATGAGAGATGTCACTAAATTAAAAATGGTAGACAAATAATAGGTTAGGCTACACTACTTATGTAGGCTACTGTTGTTGCAATTAGATCAATCTAAGTCAAACCATTTTAATCTTCGTCCATGACCATATCTATTTTCTCATTTCTTCAGTATATTCTTGATTTCACCCTTTGTTAACAGATCACGAGCAAAGTTATTGAGACATTCTTCATTCCAATTACATGGAACAAAATCATGTTGGTGGGTGGTAGCAGAACATTTTGGTTTACAGCAATATCTTTTGTTAGATGTAGCACATCGGCAATGGTAGGCATGTTTCGATGCCAAAGCCTTCATGGAATTAACCATGCTTGTCAAAGTGGAAAGTTTTTCAAGATGGCGTCTTAAGATTCTCCAAACACTGTGCCATGATACGGTAGATTTTTGAGGAGCATCATAATGGATATAATCAGTTAGCTCATCAATATGAGTATCTAATAACAGTTCAATACATTGTTCCTTTAACACATCCAAACCCAGCTGTTCAGTTAAAGATAGCAACGATATCAATCTACCATCAGGGTTTTCCTTTAAATCTAAACATAAACAATTAATACACCGGCTCTTTAACCCTTCTATTTGATATTTATCAGCTATAGGTAATAATCTCTCAGAAGCATCAGCTGAAAAAGAGAAATACTGATTGTCATAATTGCTTTACCCGTACCGGTAATACAAGTTTATATCACAGTTGAGAAAAATATTTGCGCACATCTATTTTGATTTAAAAATATTGTTTACTTTTTTTTTGGTGGATTGAATAGCAATGAAAACCACACAAACAATTTTTACATTTTGTGCATTAGGCTTCTCACACCATAAACAATATATTGAACTTATGGGTTTTTTTTTTCAAACCACTCATTTTTTTCAGAACTTGGCCCTTTGTCCAAATGGCCCCATAAAGTGGTTAAAATGCCTAAAGATTCATATTCTAATAAGTTCTCATTTCAGCAGAACCTACCTGTCAAAACTCCAGCATCAGGACTAATATATTTCAGTAATAATTGGACATCTCTAAATGTTTCACAAGGCAAATCAATTTTGTCAGCATTTTTTTCCTTAAAATGTGTCGTTGTCAGCATAACTTTAAACACTGGGGAAGCTGTAATTAGTAAATATCTAGCAGTGTGCAGTTGCTTCCCTTCCACAACTAAAGTCAGATCCGTAAATTCTGTCGGTTTTGTAAATTCGTCGTCTTCTTCAATTGGACAGTTATTCGCCACCTCGGGAACTGACTCGGCATCATAGTCAGATCCCATTGAAGACATTTTCCTTGAGAAAATGACAAGACAATCAGAATATAACCCTATAACAGTTTTTTTACTACTTTTCCTGTCAGATGTAAACAAAGCTTTAACCAGCGGAAGTATAGAAATCAGTACGGATTGTTCTTGGAATAATGACACTACATCTTTAAAGAAGTGGGCGACGTTGATATTTAAATGACGTGACAATCGCACTCAAGCTAAGATAATTAAAATTTTTAGGGGGGGGGGGAGGCTCAACTGTCACTCATGCCCCGGGTCTACACCATCAACTTTATCAATGGATGCAAAACATTTGGCAAATTTGCCAACATTTTTAATTTGATAACACATTGATTGAGGAAGCCTCTCAGTAACTCTTTTCCATATCTGGACAAAAAGATAACAGGTAATTCAAATGTTTCACCCTTTGAGAATCTGGATTGAATTGTTCAAGCCTCCTACAATGGAAACAGCCTAGGTATGAAGGGTTAAAAGCCGACACCAGGCCGACTCTTGGAAGCACTGGCACAATTGAACATTAGGCTTATAAGATGGATTCTTTGATGGGATGTCTAGTTGTCATAGAGTAGCCTCACTTGATCTTTTATCATTGTTTATTAGTATCAAAAGTCATTTACAGTGTTTTCTTATTATACATACTAATATACTTATATGGTATACATAACAATTATTGTAGGACTATTTACATTTAGACAGTAGGAAACGTATATTGATAGATCTATGGTACGATCAATCGGTAGACCATTGACCTAGCATTGAAGAAGCAAACACAAGCATCAAAATTCCCATTAACAAGAGTTACTTTACAAGAAAATATTTTGTGGAGCATCATATATATATATTAAGAGATTACATTCCTTACTGAGAACTATAAAAATTCAACCACACAGTTTCATAATAAAAAGGTAGAATTCATATTGAAGGGATGGTAAAAAGGTTTTCTAAATTTATTATGTGTATCGGGGACACTAATAGCATCAATTTGCACCATTCCAATTTTCAGTCAGACTTCTGTGGTACCTACAATTCCTTCCATGGGACCCTTCAGGGGTGACATCATCAACCACTTAGATTTAGTGGAATTGCAGGAACCAATTGAAAATTAGAATGGTAAAAATTGATGTTCCAGATGCACATTTTTTAGAAAATTTAGAAAACCTTTTTTACAATCCCTTTAAATAACAGAACAAAATTTTTACTTAAACTGTAGGCTTACAGTTGTTGGTAGTATACAAAATAATTAAATGTTACGTTATTTATTTATAAACTGATTTTTTAGATATATAATATATACAATTCAAATAGAATATCAATGTTAGGGCCTACCTAGCACACTAGCAAGTCAACCAGTATTAACTATTATGGTCAAATTTGTACTCGTACTTTGAAATGTCATATCAAAGCCGTAAACAGAGACCACTTTCACAGTAGACATCAAATAATCAATATATTCAGCTGATATCATATATATATGTTTAATTTTCATAAACAAAATTTTGTCAAATTCATGAGGCAATTGCCTCTATTACTTGATGTAGTTATGACCTTGAAAAGCTGCAGTACCTATACTTAAAATCCAAAAAATTCAACTTACAATTTACAATGTACAAGTTCAAAACTGAAATGATGATAGAGATGAGTTCATGATACGTGATATTTACAAATGATACATGAAATATATGATATATGGTATAAACTGATACATATGTACAAATTAATGATAGTAAAAAATAAAATTAGTATAAAATCATAAAAAACATAACACATTTAAAAGGCAAGGGAAAAACATTGTTAATTTACTAAATACCGTTTTCAAATATACCTAATGAAACATATGTGAATTTTTAAAATATTTTTGGCATTAAAAAATTAACAGCTATTTTTTTTTTAGTTAAAACTTTCAACTTCTTTAAGGTGCGGGCACAAAAGATGTCTTTATTGGAGATTTTTATCTTGAAAAAAATCTTGCGTGTCGCTGACAGGATTTATAATAACAAGTTTGATAATTGTCTTTGATAGTTGTATCGTCTGCAAGTCAGACCATCATCATCCAATCAGATTCCTTTTCCTTTTAATTGCATGCTCCACCCTTGATTATTGGAAACAGCCGACTGGAGATTTTTGTCTCCTTATGTGCTCTTGCCAGTCGTAGAAACTCAAGACAAGACTTAAATCGGCGACAAAAGTCTCTGACCCAGACCGCTTGTGTGACTGCATCTTTAAGGGGCATCTTTCTCTAGATTTACGCGCATATAATTTTTCACAAATTAAAGCGAAATATTTTTCCGACCTATAAAAATAACCCGGAGTGTCCTGGAATGATTTCAATCCATCAAAATTAACTTAAAAAAAATAAATGTAGCACTTTGACCTCACACAGAATAAAACAGAGATAAAACTAAGAGACATATTATTGTTGTGAACATAGAAATATTTTGTTCTGCTGCATTAATCTCACGTGTTAAGTCATCATAAAAATGTAAAACTCGATCTACGATATGTATAACTCCATTAGTAGCACCAATATCACCGTGTAGTACTCTAGTACGCTGACCTCGGTATAATATCTCTGTATCTAAAACAAATAATCAACTATTTAGAATTTAGAAGCCTGGTTGCTTACCTAAGGGAAGTAATTCACCTTTGGTAAATTTGTCAAAAGCTTCAAGACAATTTTTTTCTTTGAGAAACAGGACTATACAAGACTTTATGAACAATTTTTTATTTTTAATTGAGGTTTTTCTTTCAATTTCTTTTCTTATTATTTTTGATATTTTCTGTCTTCATTGTTATCTAACATGTTTTCCATCACAGTTGTGTTCTTATGACAGTACTATCGACCATTCTTCATGACATATTGAATTGTGGGATAGCAGTTCAAAGTAGAGGAATAGACAGCCCCTTTGGCTTTTTCTATCCCTCGATTCTTATTAATGATTCTATATGACACAATTTCATTGATTATAAACCATGTCATTAGAATAGGACTGTGGTGAAAATTGTGTTAGATTACAATGAAGAGAAATTTGTAATTTTATTTTAGATAGACTCCCTCTAGTTTGATTTCATTGAATTTATACATAACAAACTTTTGAGTATTACTTTAGAGTTAGCTCAAATACACAGGATTTCTAATGTCAATCATTTAGCAGATAATAAGAGGATATAAACTTACATTTTTCATTGATTTTATTGATTCTCAATGTTTCACCAGTATCAGCCACGACCTCATGACTACCAAGACTTAACGTATCTAAATATAATTTTTTACTTCGTAATATATGTCTGCCTAATACCTGAAATTACATGATAATATTTAACGAATGCAAATCAAGACACAAAACTTATGCAAAATAGATATGATCCTTTCAGATTTTGGTAAAAAGGGGCCTCTGCCTGCTAATTCATTCTCTCCATTGTTAATACATCTTCACAATGTCAATCTATTACAAACTTTGCTTTATACCTTGACTGTGATACCCACTTATCTTGTATTATGGAAGTTTGTAAATGCAGCGATTTGAAAGTCCTGACAGAAAGACTGATTCAAATGCACATCTAGATGTTCACTATTTTTGATTTTTTACATCTTAATGACACTTTTCTGATCCTAGATCTGAAGAAATTCAATTCAAATACACTATTTATCAAAATGTTTTCTTTAAAAAAATTGAATGCAATTTAAAGAAAAATTTCCTCAGATCACAGAAGGTAAAAGTAGTAACCCAACTTTTTTTAATGAATGTCCGGTATATTCTATGAATCCTGAACATGCAGAAATCAACGATCCAATGGCCTCCAGTAGAGCATGTAGATGAACTTTTGAGTTTAAAATAAAATATATACTTACATAGCGTAATCTGTTTTTGTCTCCCATAATACGTAACCCTAACTCTGTTTTCTGGAAATTATCAATAGCTGTACCATTTGGTATAAACATAGTGAATTCACAGTATATATTACTTTCACCACAACCTCCAGATCTCGAACGGTCATAATCATCACTTTGTTCATTGTTATAATTATAGTCATTGTTGTTATTATTGTTATTGTTGTTATTGTTATTATTGTTATTCGTGACAGCACCAAACTGACTTCGTGCTAATGAAACTGGACAAGCTCTCTGAGCTGTTTTAATTCTAACATCTTTTAAATACTTGTCTAAATTAACTGTGGTTAAGATATAGTATGGTTTTCTGAAACACAAAAATAAAGAAATATATTACTTGTGTTAGAAAAGAAGGAAAAAATTACTAACAAATTTGTGGCTAGCATATGATTTCTCTGCAATCATCAGATTGTGTACGTGCTTTTGTCCCAAATGATTTAAATGCATTTTGACCATCTGAAACCAATTTCAGGTCCGATATTTGATCCCTGATATAAACCATAGAAATTTGCATCTACAGTATTACAAAAAAGCTAGTGTCAAGTATATTTTGGTAAATCATCTAGTCAGGTTCATAGCTAGAGGTGGTTCAGGGGGACCAGGCCGACACTTAGGAAATATTGACTTGAATGACTTGTTGAGTCACTATAGTAGAGCCCCCCTTTAGGCCTAAGACCCTGGGTAGCTGCAGGCCTGCATTGTTGTTTCAATGGAAAATATGTCTATGCTCTATATGCTGTAGGCTATTCTAAAGGCATAATTAATTGTAATTCTAGGAAATTACTAATTAAATATTTAACAATTTTATACTTACATTAACCAATCTTCACAATATATAACTGCAGGTAAATCACGAGATGGTACCCCAAATACACCATCGATATAGTGAACAATACCATTAGTTACTCCAATATCAGGTCTAATAACTCTAGCTTTAACATAGCCCCCTTCTACCCAGGTATCTACAATTTACAAGTATAATATACAAATAACAGTAAAAACTTGATATGTTGACAATGGTATAAAAGACGAAGCCCTGCATCACATGAAGTCCAACTCGCAATCAGAAAAGTGGAATCACTGGCTTAAGATGAAGTAGTCTCATAGTTCCATCAAACAATTATTACTTAAAATGCTGTGTGTATCTCTTGAGTCCTTATCTTCTTATGAAGGTTTCACTATATATATTTATTCGCAGGCTGTAAATAGGTCAGTTGAAATAAGATCGCATAGTGTGAAACTCTGTGTAACAACAGCATGATTTTAAAGTTCTGTTTTAATATTTCTATATCGATGTATTGAGCACTATTTTAACAGTGGTATTTCTATATCACTCGACAATTGATGTATTGAGCACTATTTTAACAATGGTATTTCTATATCACTCTACAATTGATGTATTGAGCACTATTTTAACAATGGTATTTCTATATCACTCGACAATTGATGTATTGAGCACTATTTTAACAATGGTATTTCTATATCACTCTACAATTGATGTATTGAGCTCTATTTTAACAATGGTATTTCTATATCACTCTACAATTGATGTATTGAGCTCTATTTTAACAATGGTATTTCTATATCACTCTACAATTGATGTATTGAACACTATTTTAACAATGGCATTTCTATATCACTCTACAATTGATGTATTGAGTACTATTTTAACAATGGTATTTCTACATCACTCTACAATTGATGTATTGAGCACTATTTTAACAATGGTATTTCTATATTGCTCTACAATTGATGTATTGAGCACTATTTTAACAATGGTATTTCTATATTGCTCTACAATTGATGTATTGAGTACTATTTTAACAATGGTATTTCTATATCACTCTACAATTGATGTATTGAGCACTATTTCAACAATGGTATTTCTATATTGCTCTACAATTGATGAATTGAGCACTATTTTAACAATGGTATTTCTATATCACTCTACAATTGATGTATTGAGCACTATTTTTAGTGAAAATAATATATCATAATCATATTTATGAGTTATGAATAATCCTCAGTGATAGAAATAATTATTATGGAAAAACAATTCAAGATAAACTACTAGAACTTACCATTTCCTTGACTGTATATCTTGATTTTCTTTCCACGAAACTGTGAAGCCACTTCAAATCTCGAGTCATAGTTTCCATTTACTTTGGTCAAATCAAAAATTTCACCTGGCTCCAGAAATGATCTTCTTAAGACCTAAATTGTAATATTCAATAATTGATATTGACTTGATTCAATACCACAGGGGACAGTGGCGTGTGATGACTTAATAAGACGGTGAGAGGGTAATTAAGGGCCACAGAATTGCCAAGGGAGCTCATAGGCAATCTTTACCCAGAAACAGATGCCATTTACCTTATTTTTCTTGATGTAGTTACGACCCTGAATTCATGATGTATTTAACATTGTATGGTTTACTGGTATTGATACTTGAAACCTAGACACTAGGCTCTATTAAAAAACTTACATTATCTAGGGCCCCTGAATTCAAAACTGTAGGCATTTCTGATTTTCTACTATCAATTTTAATCCTATTTTACCCTGTTGATGATGCAGGATGGAGTGACTGACCAGGAAAAAGTGGTCTGTTGTCTATAAGGGACAGAAAATCTGATGCCTAGGGCTGTGAATGATGATATTCCCATGGTTATGGAGTACATTATAAACCATGACATTGTCCTATCAAAATTTTCCTCATTACACAATGCAAGCCATTGCCAATCTTCAATAACCTAACCAGGTGCAGAAAATTTAGGAGGAAAAACTCAATCTCATTTATCGACTTACCTCATCAATCAATGTAGCATTATTATATAAGTCAGCATTCTGTAAGTTTGCTATGGCATTGAAAGCTTCATTGGTAGGACAAAACACAGTTACCCCTGAAGGCCGAACTAAATAATCTTGAAGTTCTTTTCTTCCACGGTTTGTTAAATCTTTAAATTGACTGCATTAAAAAATATCTTAGTTATATATTATGTTAGTGTGTGACCAGTATACAGGCTGCTTGGGTATATATTACGTTAGTGTGTGACTGGTATACAGGCTGCTTGGGTATATATTGCCATAGTGTGTGCCTGGTATTCCGGCTGCTTGGGTATATATTGCATTAGTGTGTGAATGGTATACAGGCTGCTAGGGTATATATTGCGTTAGTGTGTGACTGGTATACAGGCTGCTTGGGTATATATTGCGTTAGTGTGTGACCGGTAAACCGGCCGCTAGGGCTGAAAGGGTTAAGCCATCTTAAAGCTAAGATCATTTGGAGAATACAAGATCAGGGCCAAAAATGTACATCCGCATGCTGTTGATATAACGAGAAACTTGCCTAAATATCATGTAAATCGTTGTGTTGTCATGAAATTTTCCAGGTTATCAAGTGTGATATTTATAACATAATATTTGTCCACATCTGGAAGTGATCATTTCACTTTTTAGGTAGTTTAAGTAGTCATTGATACTGTATAAATCTTGCTTGTATAGTCTTAATTACTACTTATTCTACCTGGAAAGAAAGTGGACTGCTTGTATATGTTTTGAAAGGAATGGGCATCCCTGTGCTGCTATAAATGAGATAATTTATTAACTAACCTTGTGATGGAATCTTCTTGTAATTGGTCCCTAGCTGTATTATACACAAATCCTAACACAGTATCAATATAATGTACAGCACCATTTTCTACTGTAATATTACCACGAGTAACTTCAGCTGTAACTCTGCCTCCACTTATATACACTGAAAATAAAATGGTACAATAACAGAGTCAGACGATGACTGCACACTAGAAAGTGAACATCACCCTTCAAGTTTTTGCCGAAATTGAAGCAGATGCAACAAATAATTTGGTAATGGTTATAGACCTTATTCATGTGTCAGCCATATTGGATCGTCAGCCATATTGAATAGTCAGCCAGCCATATTGAATCGTCAGCCATATTGAATCATCAGCCATATTCAATCCTGAACGAGGCTCATGAGCAAACAAAAGTAACCTTGTGTCACTGCAGTAAAATCACCACTTTGACATCTTTAAAGCTTCCTTCTCCAATCCCACTAACTCAAAACTAATCATATTTTACATTATTAAAATCGAAATTTGTAAGCTATTTAATCATACTTTCAGATAGAGTTTACATTTACACATTACTGAGAAAAGGCAGTTTTAAGCCCCGTATTCTTGCTGTTAATTGGGTGTTTAGTGACGTCACAAAGGCTATTCATTCATATGACATCGCCATCTTATCAATGGCAATTTGTGCTATGAGCCTCGATTCATGTGTATCTCCAAAAATAAGGCTTGAATAAGGTTTATTGTTCTCTCAATCTAAACCTGCTAAGCAGGTCTGTTAAGAAGGTTTAATCATCACAAATCTGTTAAGACTAAATTTTGTACCCACCTTTATCTCCTATGGTTTTTCTGAAAATATTTCTTCCATTTACAGCATTGAAGCCTTCATTATGGTAAACAAATGATGTATATATAGCTTGACTTTTAATGATATGTTGTTGAACCACCTACAATACAACAAATTAACGGGATCATAAAGAGGTTTCTTAACTTTTTACCGGTATTGAGGACACTGATAGCATCAACTTGCACCATTCCAATTTTCAGTCATATGTCTGTGGTTCTTGCAATTCCATTATTTAATGATCAAAACCATCATAACCAACTGAATGTAACAATTCTTAAAATGTTCTAATACTGGAGACCGTATTAACACAGTCAACTTTTGTTTAATTGCCCAAGAACTGTATGTGGGATTTTAATTCAGCAAAGTGATACAGTTAGCTGAAATTTAACACTTTTTTTAGATGACCTAATATTTCAATATTCTTAAACTTTTAAAAACTAGAGGTGGTTTTATCAGCTCATATGATTTCACAAAAGATTAACCAGACATGACGTCTGTTATACTTGGTTGCATGATGCTTTTTTTCCTGATACTCAGCGTTGGAAATATTCAGTTGCTCTTGGAATTAGATTTTATTGGACAGATGCCTCATTTTTTTTACCAATCATACGTTAGTCTCAGAAACAGGATTTTTTTTAGCAAGGCCAAATAGTCTTCACAGCTCACTGTCGAAATTTGAACCATCAAATCCATGTGTGTCCAGAATTATCCGCGTTTGAAAGTTAAAATGATGACTCATCAATTTAAGATACTATAGAAAAGACATATATAGAAATAGAGAGTAAAATTCCTAGTTTTAAGTCATTTTAAAGAAATTATACAATTTTCCAACATTTCTAGTACTTCTGAAGTCTATTTATATATATTCAACATTCAAATCAACCCCCCAATATGGCACACATATCCCTTTAACTTTTTGAACCTGTGAAAAGAAAAGCATACTGAAAGAAAGCTCCTACCTTTTGTAGTCTTGGTTGTTCAGACTGTAATTCATTTAATTTCTGTATAGGTATTTTATTAATAGCCTCATCAGAAGGTACAAATAAGGTTAAGAATTCTAAGTCTTGTAGAAAATCTACACCATTATATAAGTATTCTCCATTTAAATAATTTATAAATTGCTTGAAAAATTCCGTTCTGTAAATAAAGAGGTTTTTATGTAGAATCATAGGCCTAGTAGCCTAGCACAGTTTTACTTACAACCAATAACATCTGCATTATTCTAAACTTTATATAAGTAAAGGAAAGACAGCATAAATGTGATCATAAGTGTTTCTGAAGAAGGTAATTCTCCGAAATGTTAACCAACAGGACAATAGTATTACTTTGTTTTAAGTTGAAACCTACTTGACAGAAAAATTCTTGTCTAAAAAAAATGTGTTTTGCTTCAAAATATAGTCAATAGTCAACACAGTTATCTAAATATTCTCTTGAAATATTCATTTTGTCTCCTCAGTCCATGAAACTCTTGACAAGACTCTAGTCGGCGACAAAAATCTCCGACCAAGACCATTCCTGTGCCCGCACCTTTACCAATTCATTATAGACTTTATAATAAAGAAATGCTTACTGTTTGTAACGGTCTTCTTCATCAGGTCTTCTTAAAAAAGCGTAAGCATTTGATCTGTAACTTTTTTCAAGTACTCTGTCAATGACATGAACGATACCATTACCAGCTCGAACATTAGGTCTTATTAACAATGCTCCATTGACATAGAATTCTGTTACACCAACATTACCTCCAATATCCTACAAGTATTAGAGATAGTGTCAATAATATCCTAAATTATTGTATATAATTAAGCGTTTTAACCATGTATGTATAGTCTGGATAAATAAAACTTTTTGACTTTTCTTGATCGTTCACTCATTCGAATTCTGCTGGTTATTCTCTTCTAATTTGCTAATTATGAATAAATTATGGACATGTGAGACAAACTGGTATTTTTCCAAGTCATTACAACACCTCTACTTTCTATTCATATAAATATTAGCATTTTCATTTTCAATTAAATTAAAATAAGGGAACCCATCATTAAAGGGATAAATTGCCTGTAATTTTTGTTGCATGCATCACTATGTTCACACTTTGCTATTAATTTCAAGATAGTTTCTAGTAATGATGATAGTTTCCCCCAAATAAGCTTGTTTGATCTATCATTTTACATATGACCTCTAAAAAATCATTTGATGTTCTTTATTTATAAGCTTTTATTTCTAATCTAGCCACTTCAATTAGGAGGCATGTTTTGATTATCAATCAATTACATAATTTAATAGGCCTTCCTGGTTAATTCATTATCATTTCTTTCGTTTGTCCATCACTGAAGTCAATATATGGAAATTTATATGGAAATTTACGTCTGTTTAGTTGACTTACATTAATTCGCCGTTGTCTTTTGTTAAAAAATAATCTGTTATTGTCTGATGATATACTTTTCTTTTTGATATTATCATTTATATTCATTGTTTGTAATTCTTCATTAACTAAAAAATATACAAATATACAAATATACAAATATTATTCACCAATATACATTTAGCACTTCTTCTTCATAAATAATTTAAAATTAATATAGCCATGCATGGCAGTTAAGTCTCCAATACAGTCTACAGAGTAAGGGAAAGAATACTACATTTTCCAATAAAATCAGATTTAAACAAGACAAAGAAACCTTGAGGGAGAACTTAAAAGTTAGAAGGACATAAAAAAGGATGTAAAATGTCAGGTAAATAAGAAGCACATGTCAGTGTCAAATGCTGGGTACATGAGGAGCATAGTGTAAAAATGCCAGATAGGAGGAGCAAATGTCAATGTAAGATTCCACGTCAAAAACATAAAGACATAAAAATGCCAGGTAAATGGGCAGCACATACCTGTTAAAATGTCAAAAAAATGAGTTATTCATACCTGTGTAAAATGTCAAGTAAATGAGTGATTCATACCTGTGTAAAATGTCATGTAAATGAATGATTAACACCTTTGAAAAATGTCAGGCCTGTGTAAAATGTCAAGTAAATGAGTGTTTCATACCTGTGTAAAATGTCAGGTAAATTGGTGATTCATACCTGTGTAAAATGTCAAGTAAATTGGTGATTCATACCTGTGTAAAATGTCAAGTAAATGAGTGATTCATACCTGTGTAAAATGTCAGGTAAATTGGTGATTCATACCTGTGTAAAATGTCAAGTAAATTGGTGATTCATACCTGTGTAAAATGTCTAGTAAATGAGTGATTCATACCTGTGTAAAATGTCAAGTAAATGAGTGATTCATACCTGTGTAAAATGTCAAGTAAATGAGTGATTCATACCTGTGTAAAATGTCAAGTAAATGATTAATTAATACCTGTGCAAAATGTCAAGTAAATGAATAATTCATACCTCTGTTAAATGTCAGACCTGTGTAAAAAGTCAAGTAAATGAGTGATTCATACTCTAGTAATATGTCAAGAACATACCTGTATAAAATCTGACATAATCTTCTTTGTCTGCTGGGACCATATTGAAGATTTCATTTTGTTTATCTAATGGTATTTCTTGGAATGCTGTATTATTTGGTACAAACAATGTTAGTCGGATTTGAGATTTGTACATGTTCTCTGTTGGTAGTCCAGCACCTTGGATTAATGTTTTGAACTGAAATAAAAGCCATGATAATTCAAATAACTGCTATTCATAGTAGACACTCCATGTTTACAGTACACGCAAATATAACAAATAGCTACCATGTAATTTCTTTGAATGGATACCTAATGTTATATCATTAACATTTTTATTCTTAAAAACTTGAAAACCTCATCAATAACTCATAATGTCAAAATGAGATTCAAAAAAAGATTTCCAAGAGCAAAAAAGTAGAAAATTGCCTACTTTTTCTAATACTTGACATTTCAAATGCAACTTTTGGAAATGATCAATGAAATGAAGGTGTTAAATTATGATTTTAAAAATTTTCAAACTGAGTTAATCATATGCACATATCATTAACTGCTTATAGCTCTTTAACTTTTCATATTTCTTAAAATATGACCAATAGTTCTTATCTCAGACTAAAATATATCTTATTCTTTAATAGCAAATGGATTGAATACATTATAAATAAATATTAGTTTCAAGAGTCTTATTTCAGCTATGACTAATTTATAGTACATATATTACATCAACGGTAATGTCACACAGCATTTGATAATGATATTTCTTAGTTCTTTAAATCATATTAAAGGGACAGGTAAGCAATTTTCGGAGGTTGATTTGGACCGTGAATATATGTAAATACTTTATTTTTTATATATGTCTATATCGCTATACAATTGATTTTATTATTGTATGTCTTTTCTATATATATCACATAAGATCTTAAAATGGCAGGTCATCTTTTTTACTTTTAAACATGGATAATTTTGTACACACATGGACTTGAAGGCTCAAATTTCGACAGTGAGCTGTGAACACTATTACTTATCAGCTTAGATAAAAAATTCCAGTTTCTGTGACTAAGGTATAATTGCTAAAAAAAAATGGTGAAACTGTCCCTTTAAAAGATCACTAATGAGAATAGTCCAAAACGTTCTCATTAATCAATTATTGTCACAATGATTTCAAAATCTCCATTATCAATTATCAAATTACACTATCAAATATTACATTTTCTCTTGGGGACACTGATAGCATCAATTTGCACCATTCCAATTTTGTGGTGCCTGCAATTGTACTAAAACTAAGTGTTTGATGACGTCACTAATAGCAAAAGGCCTTTTATGATAAAGCATATTTTGCAATTGGTTTTAGTAGAATTCCAGGAACCCTTACGACTGATTGAAAATGTAATGGTGCAAATTGTTGCTATCAGTGTCCCCAATAAGCTCAAAAAATTAAGAAAACCACTCTACCATCCCTTTAAATACTGTAGATACAGTAGTGAAGTAGTAAAGTCTTCTACAAAGTTTCTTTTGAGCACATAACTTATCGACAATATTCATAATTAAATCAATATATCCATATTATATTTAATAACACAAAAATAAACCATTATTTCAAATTCAAACAAGATCTAAATTTGCCATCGTTCATATTGATATTGATATATTTTAAAATCATACTGATATATTTTCAAATGATACTGAATATTTTAAAATGATACTGATATATTTCAAAATGATACTGATATATTTTAAAATGATACTGAATATTTTCAAATGGTACTGATATATTTTCAAATCATACTGATATATTGTAAAATGATACTGATATATTTTCAAATCATACTGATATATTTCAAAATGGTACTGATATATTTTAAAATGATACTGATATATTTTAAAATGATACTGAATATTTTCAAATGGTACTGAAAATATTCAAATCATACTGATATATTGTAAAATGATACTGATATATTTTCAAATCATACTGATATATTTGATATATTTTCAAATCATACTGATATATTTGATATATTTTCAAATCATACTGATATAGTTAAAAAAAATTTAATCCTAGAAATAAATTCATCTGTATTTTTAATTTTTTCCTTTCCTTAAGTGTGTAAAATATTTTTCAAGGTGTTGGTATTATTGTGTATGCATGGCATATATGTAAATCTAAAAGTTGAAACCGGTCCAGTTTTTACTTTAAATCTAGAAATGTATCATTTTGAAGAAATTCACTTCAAAACTTCAGTAGGTTAATGCCTAAATTAAGTCTGATAGGCATCATTTTCTAAGCTCTCGATAGAAATACATTTCATTTAGGCTTTATATTATATATTAAAAATAGAAAAAAAATAAACAAATTGCAAAATCATTCATTAAAATTACCGATCAGTTATTGTTTAGGTGATAGAATGTCAACCATTTTGGATTTGAAATATGGGTCAATCAATTTCCACCTGAAGCACTTACCTTTCCACAAGTTAACGTCTTGGTCAAAGCGTCGAATATATTATTAGCATCACTGACATCCTTTATAAACTGTCCAAAACTCTGTCCCACTAAAGTTAGGGCGATCATCCAAAAAACTTTGGCCATTTTATAAGTAGTGAGCAGCTCTCACATTATCTGTTATATGATTTGAATACACCGTTGATGACTAAATATAGAAAATATTACACAGGTAAAATTAGGGGGCGTTTCAAAATAATCCAGGTGTATGTCATTTATTATAGCTACGTAGTAAGATTGATGGCTTATATTACATACATTTTACTATAATATAGCCTTATATTTTAATAACAGATTAATTTTTATATTTCAATGTAAGATTAATTTTAAATCATCGTTTCAAAAACAAAAGATTTTTTGTCACTTGTGTAGAAATTATAACGGGGCAGATTCACCATATTTGGGTGTTGTTTTGTGTGTTGAATATATGTAAATTGTTTTCAGAACGACTAGAAGCGTACGAAAATCGCAATATTTCCTTTGAAAATATCTCAAATCAGGAATTTCACTCTCTATATCTCAATATCTTTTCTACATACGACAGTCTCAAGAAAAGACGAGTCGTCTTTTTAACTTTCAAAAGCGGATAATTCTGGACATACAAAATTGCTGGTAGCCTGGCAGTAATCTTATATTATTTGTTATCTTCCAAAACTTTATTTTAGTTTCCAATAGTTTCTATGAATTATCAAGGTTTGCAATTATTTTTAAGTACATGAACTAGTAAACAATGATCGATATGATTGGAAATGTTTTATACTTAAACAAACAGTGGTCCGTTACAATTAGTAATAATCACAGTTTGGCATATAGAGTTAGCAAGGGTAAGCTAAGATATTCGCTTCAAATTACGGTGAGGGTGCGTGTGCTTAATTTATGCATAAGAAATATGTGTTTGATGAAACGGTTTTGTACTAAAAATGTTTTTAAATGGTGCTCTAATCGATAACTATATATGGCTATCGAATTTACATTAATACAATGAAGTAAAATTGGTAATGGTGGACACTTTGAAGGGGATAAGTGGGGTTTTATCTACTTGTATGTTTCCAAATTTATCACGAAGTATTTTATCGAGTTCCTTATGCTGAATAACATAATTTATATTTAAACATTTAAATGTAGTGTTTAGATTTTCTATGCGGGACCGATCATAGAACATTTTTGGAGAACTTTCAGTATAGTAGTACCTATCCTGCAAAAAGCAATTTGTTATGAGAAATGTCTGGATTTAAGCCCATTTTGAGGTGGGTCAAATAATGTAATTGCATTTTTGTGATTAAAAAAAAAAAAAAAAATTAAAAAAAAAAGAAAAAGAAAAGATTAAGGACATTTTGGACCGAAAAAATGTAAATAGTCCGCCCATTAATAAAAATTATATAAGGTACAAACTAGCAAGTACTCGATGTTGATGGTGATTCTGTACTCAAAACGACAGCCATAATATATATCAGGCATTGCTCGAAACACATATCGACAACATGAGACAAATATTATAATAATTAAGTTATAACTTATAACATTATATTAGTCAAAATATAACTTAAATAACGTAATAAATTTATATAACATAAACAGTGCAAATAAAAAATATATTTAGCCTTTTAATGCAATGATGTCTTATAACAAAAATTCATAACTTTTAATTTCATTTTCTAGGCGTTGAAATATTTTTAAGACAAAAAAATAAGTATTATTAAAATTCAAGAACGTTAATCTCTTTAATATTTCAATCGACATGTCCCCTCTTAATGATTAACAGCGTCATTTTTCACAGTTTTGACATATTTTTTTAGCTGAAACCGTCAGATGTCGATGAGATCATAGGAAACGATTAGACTTTGTCGGCTATAAAATATGTATCTTATATAATGAAATATATGTCTCTAATTATTGATATGTTGATGTTTTAATTGAGATCGCCGTCAATCTATTTCATCAATGTCGATTTAATGAAGATCTTAATTAATTAATTAGTAAGATTACTAACAGAGAAATTCATTACGGAAGTTCAAATTGACTCATTATCCCGTTTTTCCGTTTTACCTACAGTTTCTTTGTCATTCTAGAATTATGTTTTAAAAAGACGTAAGAACTATTTTTAAAAGGATAACAACTTAGGTTCACACTTAAGGATCTCTTTCTACCATCTGCTACTTGTCCAAACCTCTTGGCATTGATCTTTCCCAGATGATCCGTAGGCTTACCCACTAATTGAAATTTCAGTGAATACTGCAGCAAGTCAGTTCATTTGATACAAATCAACGGATTGTCTTTCAACTTCTGTTAAAACAACATCATATCAATATGGGCAAAGATCAAGGGAAATAATTTGCAAAACCCCTGACGAAACAATATTTATTAATTACTGTTTATAAGACATATAGAAATAGGAGTAGGTAATATTTATTAATATTTATATAGGTACGATTAGACGAGTATGGAAGCCGGCTGCGACCATATTACCCTCGACTTCTCGCCCACGAGACGACAAAGCTAAGAAAAACGGCGAGAAAGCGAGGGTAAAAACAGGCGAGGAATAAGGCGAGAAAGTGAGGAAAAAGGCGAGAAAGCGAGGGAAATTTTCGTCTTTTTCCTCTTTTTCTTGACTTCTCGCCTTTTTTACTCACGCTTTCTCGCCTTTTTCCTCGCCCTTTTCCTAGCCTTTTTTTACTCTCGCTTTCCTTTTTCCTCGCCCTTTTCCTCGCTTTCTCGCCTTTTTCCTCGCCTTTTTTTTTATTGAAAAATTAGAAAACATACGAAATTTATTTCGAAAGAATGTTAATCAAAAGTAACACATATTGCTTCAAAATAATGAGTTTTGCTGTTGTTCCATGCATACGATATTTTGCATTTTGTATTTAAAATCGGTACCCATGTCGGTCGGTCCGTTCACAATATTGGTAATCGAATGAGAATCTAGCATTAGGATTTTGTTTGGTTAAAGAATGAAAATTGTATATATATGTTTACAAACAAATGCGTCTCCTTTTCTATTTTGAATCTATCCGAAAATTAACGCATGTTTACCCCTTGTTCTTCATTTCATCAGATAACGACACGTGTATACCAGAATAAATTCCATTTTGTTTATGTTATAAACCTATTATGTAATATAACTATGGTCCTTGGATTCGATTTATCGATGAAATAAGTATTCATTTATAATGAAATAATCATAAACTAATGAATATGCTGACGTCTTATGTCATGCTAAACCTGATCTGGAATTTAGTTTTCAACCAATTTTAAATCTTAGGGAGTATAGGTACTAATGACAAAGTTACGAAAGCACAGGTACAGGACTTATAACTTAGAGTGTAATTTGAAAGGAAAGAGTATTTATAGTGTTATCGAATATCTTTACTAGCTGTCTATTAAAAATAGCCTATCAAACATGAAAACTTTTGAAAAACCGGACCGGGACACATTGTTAAAAAAAACTGTTTTTGGGAGTCTGTAGGGCTTATAATATGGACTGATTAAACTCGGTTTTCTTTTTTATGTTCTTTGTAACAAGATAAATGTGTATAAATATTTTACAAAAATTCGATTTTTAGTTTTCTGATTGATATGAAATTCACTCAACGGTGGCATTCCGCTTTTTTGTAGGTAAAAGAATTTTCTTTTTTGCACAAATTTGTGACAAAAAGATATACCAAAATCTAGAAAAATGTGTCCCTAAATAATGATATAAGTTTTAACTTAAGAAATCCAGTCGTTAAACGCCAAAACTATTCTATAAGTATAAGATTATGACGTAGGCCTAGGCTACACATTACATAAACTTTGTAAGTTTGTTTTGTTTTTGTTAATTGCAAGAAAACTACTGTACGGATTTAAGCAAATTAAACGCTTTATTTTAGAGAAATATATGTCGCCCAATTTTCTGACGGTTCCAACTAATATTGAGCCATTAAAAAGACAAACTAGGCCAAACTAATTAATTAACGATCGTTTATTCATTAACATATTGAAATAAAATTCAGTTTGATCCAGTAGATACATAGATATTAATAGCCAAGAAAAAGGCGAGAAAGCGAGGATAAAGACGAGAAAAAAGTCGAGAAAGTTAGGAAAAAGACGAGAAAGGGAGGAAAAAGGCGAGAAAACGAAGAAAAGGCGAGAAAGCGAGGAAAAAAGCGAGGAAAAAGGCCAGAAAAATGGCGAGAAAAAAGGCGAGGAAAAAGGCGAGGAAAAGGGCGAGAAAGCGAGGATAAAAAAAGGCGAGGAAAATGGCGAGAAAGCGAGGAAGAAAAAAGGCCTTTTATACTCTCGCTTTCTCGCCCTTTTCCTCGCGTTTTTCCTCGCTTTCTCGTGGGCGAGAAGTCGAGAGTAGATATGGCCGCAGTCGGCTTCCATAGAGTAGGTACGATGTCCGGTGCAGCGTACGATGCGGGATTATCGATACAGTATAAAATAGAAGAAACGAACCGTGTCCACACTCGTATATACCTCGTGTGTTCACTTCTTCTATTTTCGTTTGTACCGATTATTCCGCACTGTACACCGCACCGTACATCATATCTCGTCTATTCGTGGCTTTAAACGAATATAAAAATTACAAAATCTATTCATAGGGTGAGGGTGAACTATTCGAAAAACCAACAAAATTTTAATAAAAAAAATAATCCAAGTAGGCTACTAACGATCCGGACCGCAAAATCCCAAACAACATTTTGACGAAACATTGGTAACAGCGAATAGGCCTATTTTATTCAATATACCCGAGCATTTTAAGTTTCATCGAAATCTAATCAAAGTTATATAGGCATAATTATATAACCCATCCAATATCATGCACTAGTCAGTTTTGATACTTTTAGCTAATCTAGGGGAAATAATCCAGAATAAAAATAAACCAAGAACTAAACAACATTGGTAGCTAATGAACTTTTCACATGAGGAATCATATTATTCATTAGTGAGTATTTCATAATAAAAAGGGGTATCAATTGTCTAGAAAAGTAAGCATAACCTGCCTGGAGCAACAACCGTCATTACTTTCAACATACACAACAAACATGAATAACAGAAAGGCAAAAAGATAGCTTGACAGGCAAAGTAACATACGCCCACTACCAGCTGTCAGAAATGATAACAAAGTCTTAAGTGGCTTAATTATGAATTGTCAAATAATCAAAAGTCGAAGCAAAACCTTAAAAACAGCCCATCAAGGTCTCATCGGCAATAACTCAAAACCGTCCATGCAGTTCTTACCAATTTTGAAATCGACTGACATCTCATCATATCAAGTTTCATTAAGATCGAATAAGAACTATATACAGTCTCTATCTTTCCTACTAGCAAAATTTGACTCATTTTACTAAGTTCAGGGCAATTGTCCGATTATTACATTATGTACATGCATACCAAATTTCATTAAGATTGGATAACAACTGTAGGCTTGGCTACAAGAAATGTGGACGGACTGATAGACAGGGGCGATGGCAATATACGTCCACAGCATTATATAAAAAGAAAAAAATAAATAACAATGACTTGGCCGACCACCAATTTAATAGTACAAGGGAGGTAACTGATGAAAATATTTTTATTTAATTTTAACAGTTCAAGGGAGGTAACTGATGAAAATATTTTTATTTAATTTTAACAGTTCAAGGGAGGTAACTGATGATAAAATTTGTATTTAATTTTAACAGTTCAAGGCAGGGAACTGATCACAAAAGTTATATTATTATGGAAACATTTGTTACACTCACAACAATGAGGAAGACTTTTAGACTGAAAAGTGGCATCAATTGTCCCGAAAAGTTTTTTAGAGAAATTTTGCGAACTGCCCCTTTAATATACGGTTTTCCTCCAATTCGGATCATAACCGTGACTTCAAACACATTCACACGCCAATACTTTGAAATGACGGGGATGAGAACAATACTATATAATATTTATGTTGTCGTATGCTATAAATATTCGCACGTGCAAATAGTGATTCTTTCTTTGTTCTCGGGACAATCAAATTCAAATTCAAACTTGATCTTTAAAATGATCATTATTCCCTTTTTAACGTTAAATTAACAATCCAATCTATGTGCTAAATCCATGCTATAAGAGATTATTATACTCGCATGTAAATCACTCAGCCAATTACAACAGAATTCTAATAATGTATCGGCACCAATCATGCAGCAACAATAAGGACTCTCATAGAAGAAAGTCAAGTCTGACAAGTCAGCAAACACAATTGTAGGATAATACTAGCAAATAGATTTTCAAGCGGATCATAATATGAAGCTATTACACTCTTTGGGTGCAGAGCCGTCCAACACAAACACTTTCTGGCTTTGTAGACTCCCTGAACGGGATGTGGAGTTGACAAACCTAGTTTAAGAAAAGCATGTTGGATATCACAGCTCTATATCTTTAGTTGAAACATTCACATTCAGAAGGGAACATAAAAATCTCTACATTTTGGCGTTTGAATCCGTTGAAGCTAACGTAAAAAGTCAACGTTCCTGGTATTTTACAAATTCTTAAACTTTTAAATCTATTATATTACTATACTTTTCAGAAATTCGAACATCTATTTTTTCCACAACTTACTGAAAATATCCCTTTAATATCAACAAATACGGTGAAATAAAAAAAAGTTATCATATGATAATGGTGTCATAATTGTTTATTAAATGCCTTGAGACATTACTCTTATCTTACAAGAACTATTGTATATTGTATATATATGTAGATATCTGAAACACTGCCTCTGGATATTATCTAACACAATTCAATTAACGTGGCAAAACACGAGTTAACACGACTAGTATATTGTTTTTAAACAATCTGTGCCCATTTGAAATTACCACTGAAGAGACAAGTTCTTCTGAAGATGAACGGAGTTAGAGTCAAGTTTTTGCTATTGTCTGTGATATCGTTAACCGCCTGTACTCTTATGATACGTCATTTCCGCCCGCAAAGTAAGTTTTCTTTATTTCTTTATCTGAAAATATCATAAAAAGTATATTTTATTTGACGAAAAAAACATATAAAGGTACGTTTATATAATAAAAAAAAACGTTCACATAAGAAGTCCACTATATTAAAGAGACATATTATTCGCCATTTTTCGGGAGTTCATTTTGGTCTTGAAAATAAATAGTCTTCAGAAGTACTAAAATGTACGAAAATCGTAAAATTCCTTAAAAATACCTCATACTAGGATTTATTGGCGTTTACTCCAAATTGGTTAATGTTAAATAATCCCCGGTGTTTACTGTTTACACCAGTGTCAATAGATGGTTTGTGGTGCTATGGGTAGACATCGGCACCTAACACTAATACTGACACCTAACACTGACAACTAACACCAACACTACACTAACACCAACACTGACACCTAACACTAACACTGACACCTTACACCAACAATGACCAATAATGACACCTAACACCAACAATGACACCAAACATATATCATCTAACACTAACACCAACACTAACACCTAACACCAACATTGTCACCTAACACCAACACCTAACACCAGCACTGACAACTAATACCTAACATCGGTACCTAACACCAACATATACACCTAACACCAACACTGACACCTAACACTGACAACTAACACCAACACTGAAGCCTAACACCAACACTGACACAGTGACACTGACACCAAACACCAACAATGACATCTAACACCAACACCAACACTGACACCTAACACTGACACCTAACACTGACACTGGCACCTAACACCAACACTAACACTGTCACCAAACACCGACACTGACACCTTACGCTGACACCTAACACTAACACTGACACCTTACACCAACAATGACACCTAACACCAACAATGAAACCAAACATCCAGAACCTAACACAAAACACTAACACCTAACACCAACATTGTAACTTAACACCAACACTGACACCTAACATTTAATACCTAACACCAACTTTGAAGTCAATTATAATGTCTGTTCTACCTAAAAATAAAAGGCGACTGCTTGTGTATTATCTTTTCTCGACTATAGTGTATGAATTTGATTCATTGGGGACTTTTTTCTTTACAGTACATGTTAAAAGAGAAAATAAGATGGTTGATTTCATATTTTTGGAAGACGGATTCAATACGCGGGATGCTCCAGTTATCAATAATATAGAAGATTTTGTTAAACCAACAGAAAGGACAGACACACTGGACTCATCCATTTCAGATTGTAAGTTTGTTATGTTATATAGTTGTTGTAGGGCAAAGGTTTCATTGTTTTCTTCTATTACCCCTCTCAGGATCTTCGATAGATTGCATTACCCCCTTCCCTCTATTAATCCAGCCATAACATACATAGTGATTTTTTCTTAGTTTAGGGTTTCCCTGCAATGATTTTCACGTCGGAGAATATAGCCTGACTGAATACAACCACTTTTAATTATCCAAAATTTTATGGTAGAACAAAAGCGCCCCATTTAAAAATTACCACTAAGTGGAAAACCCCTATTTTAGGGGGAGTAATAGGATGAGATAGGCTACCATTGAAAATGCAGAATATTCTGTTGAAATTAACAAAGAACTGAAGAGAGGTTTAGGTCATGGTCTTGAGAATTTTGTATCTTTTGGGTTGTACACATCTTCAATGTCAAGCCATTACGAACTTCGTTTTATCCCTTGACGGCAATAGCCACTTAATAGCTTGACATTGTAAAGTTGTAAATGACGAGAAATTTTGATTCGGCTAAAACTGAACTGCCATATTCTGGAAAAAGATATACCTGCCCAATAGCTCATCATAGCTATGATTTGTCCAGAAAGGATGGTTTTTACATTTTTTGTTTCTTTATAGTAGATTTTATTACCATTTCAGTGGCAATTCAAGTTTCCAAAGCCAAATCCATTTTGAAAAAAGTGAAAGTAGCCTGTTTCATCACCACACAGATTCCAATGATCCAGTCTAAGCTTGCAGCAGTTAACAATACATGGTCAAAACGTATTGATAAGATATTCTACATGGTTACAGTGAACAAAACATCCAATTTTACATTCCCTAATATAATGCCAGTTAATATCTCTAACGACAGACAACATTTGACTGAAAAGACAGTCTACGCATTTCGGTATCTCTATGACAACCATTTAAACGATTTTGATTGGTTTATGAAAGCGGATGACGATACGTACGTAGTGGTTGAGAATTTAAAGTATCTTCTATCTCACTACAATGCATCGAAACCAATCTATCTTGGACATCATTTTAGACATTATTCCTTTAATGGATACATGAGCGGTGGTGGTGCTTATGTCTTAAGTCGAGAAGCATTACGTCTACTGATAGAAAATGGCTATAACGTACCCGGACGATGTCGTCAACATGGCGGAGCAGAAGACATTGAAACTGGTCGATGCTTAACGAAGGCAGGAGCATTAGTATACAATAGTACAGATAAATATAACAGAGAAACATTCCATCCTATGAATGCTTATGGTTATATAATAGGACCTATACCTCGATGGATCACTGGATACAGTCGTAATGAAGCTAAAGAGGTAAGGGTAATATTTCTTTTTTAAAATATAAATTCACCTCGTTATAATTCTCTATATAATTAGGTATGACCTATCGCCATAGGCGTACGGACCGAAGGCCTGATTTCGTCATACTTGTTTTCCCGAAATTTTCCCACGAATTTTACCGGTATATTTCTTTCTATGTTTTTAGGTTGTTTTTTGGCGTATTGTACTGGCGAATTTGGCCTATTTGCAAACTGTGAATTAATAACAAATATAATATTAATATGCAGTCACTATTCGCATAGAATTATAGGTTCTCTGTGAATGGAGTAAAATTAATTTTGTTTTGTTTGTTTGCATTCCGTATTAACTTTTAAAAAAATACGAGTTACTTCCCTTGTGCAACCAAGACCTTTAAATGAATATTTTTCTTATATTCTAGGGTAAAGATTGCTGTAGTCAGTTAACTATAACATTCCACTATACCGGGCCTAGGTTAATGGCCATATTAGACTTTTTGTTATATCGAACGAGTGTTTACGGTCGACAGCTTGATTATGGTCGTCTACAGGATCTATTCGAAGTGAAAACTGTTCGACCACCAACCAAGCGGTTCATACCATATTTTTTCGAAACTATGGATGATTATAAAAATGCAACTGTTTGGAAAGCCAAAAATAACACTGTTTTATGAAATGAATTTGTTTTGATATTTTTGTTTGTTAATGTGTTACATTGAATTTTTGGACAGTTTTTCAATCAAAAAGAAATCCTGGTGAATGTACATGTATTCAATAATAAATGACAGGGAATGGTTGACAATCCGTTTGATCTTCGTCTGAGAAACGAGAATTTTAAATTTTATTAAGTTAAGCAGTAATAGTGTTAACAGCTAGACCCTTGAACCGCCGCTTCCGCTGATTCCTTTTGGGATAGAAATCATCACAAAACCCCAGTAAGTTAACCAACTGTAAAGGTGGGAATAGACGATGTACGGTGTTCGGTGCTGTGTACTGTGTGGTATTATCGATACAGTAGAAAATAGAAGAAACGAATCGTATCTGCACCCCAATACCTCATGGGTTCGCTTCTTCTATTTTCGTTTGTATCGATTATTCTGCATCGTACACCACACCGGACACCGTACCTTGTTTATTTTAACCCTTTGAATCAAGTTATAACTGATGAAAATAATTCAGTAGAAATTACATATATTTTAAAAGACAGACGAACCTTCAGAAATAAAACAACTCTCAAGCATGCTTTTTGTCAAATATTTTTAAAGATTAGCCACATCCACATCCACTAAAACCTAAACATAACAAATTGTACTCAATAAAATCGCCATTTTGTTTTCATGTTCCGGTACTGCATTCCATGCAAAAGGTTGAGTTCGAAACTACGATCCTACTTGAATATATCGAGTTGTAAAGAACTAGGTTGAGGCACACAACAGCAGAGTAAAGTGTTACAATGATATTTATGCACAGCCACGAACATTATCAGATATAAACAGAAACAGCGTATTCTATGGAAGCCGGCTGTGGCCAGATCTACTCTCGACTGCTCGCCCATGAGAAAGCGAGTAAAAAGACGAGAAAGCAAGAGTGAAAAGGCGATAAATCGTGAAAGCGAGGAACAAAGTGTGAGAAAAAGGCGAAAAAGCTAAGAAAATTCACGCCTTTTTCCTCTCTTACTCACCCTTTTCCTTTCCTTCCTTTCTTTCTATCTCGCCTCCTTGCCTTTTTCTGTGATCAAGGTTAATATGACCTAAGTAGGCTTCCATACTATTTGTGTCAATGAAAGATGTAAATGATACTAAAACGAATGCACACCTAGTTCGACTTCCATTGAATGTATGTTACTCGGGTTAACATTAATGTAAACAAACTACTTTCGGTTTTCAATGAGGATTTGCTCATCACATTGAACTGAAATGATAGATTTCTTTTTGTTTAGCAGTCGGTAAGTAAGTTTTTAAATAGTCTATACTAAACAGAAGATATATGGATAATTGAAACGATGTTAGATATAAATGTATGTGATTTTAACAATTTATACATCAAAATATTGTATAACATTTATGTTTTTAACTGTGATATTCTGTACATCTTTTGGTAAGGTACTAGTCCCACAGATCTGGTCTTACCCGTTTCTTTGACGTGATATACGGAAGGAATATCGGCACAATAAAATGTAGCTTAAAGTTACTCCGATCCATTTTTGAATGGCTAGTTTTTGAGGATTTTTCTTTGTAGAGCCAAATTTGGAATAACTTTGGGTATTTGTACAAAGCTGATTTGAATCAATCAATCAATGAGCTCTATCACTATCAGCACTGGCTACTTTGACGCCTCAATCAATTTATTTATTTTTTTCTGAAATTGATTATGATTATCATTTTTAAGAACAGATGGTGTACAACAGATGGTGTACAACAGATAATCAATATGAAGTCGATTCACATGTTGATTAATATGATGCCGTTGTCTCGATTAGGAACATTATTATCCATGCTTACCATCCTCTGGTTAACTATCTGGAAATATAGTAGTAATCGACATGGTAAGCTATCATCCATATGGACCGAGACTACAGTGGGTAGCGAATCTGATTGGTTGTAAATAATTCAGTGATTATGACAATGTCTTCGAATTAAATTCTTTGCCCAAAAATTCGATAACAATATATAATGTAAACTGACAAAACGTGTGGGGGTTGCCATTTTGTTACGGTTGTAACCAAGTCGTTAAAGACTTGTTGGCCTTGATCATATATGCATAAATGTAGTTATCTCCCTTGATGAAATTTGAAGGCGAAAATTCAATGATAAGTCCCAGGCTATCTTGTCATAGACAGGAATAGTTTGGGCGCCAGAGACTACAAAATTTAATGGAGAGCCAAAGGGTCATAATTATATGTTTTGAGTTCCGCTCCACATCATCCTTTTTTGCGACAGAATAAACCACTAATTGTTGTCTCTAATCTTAGATAAAATATTTAACAGCTATTTAGAAGGTTGTCGCCATCTTATATAAGACTTATTGTCATTGAAAGTTCCAGCCAATCAAAAGACACGAATTTCATTGGCTCAACCAATGACGTCTTAAGCTCAACAAATTTTATAAAGATGGCGACATAGTGTGAGTAAAAAATACCCGCCTGATTCTAATTTGTACACAAGTACATAATGTTAAGTTGTTGTAAGGTACATCTTATTCCATATTTATCAAATACTTTACAAAATTGACTGTTTTCAAAGGTCTAAATCAAGTAATACAAAATTGAAGGATTTGTATTTAGGCTACTCGGTGATTTCTCTCTAAAATACGTAGAATTATTAGGAGTGACAATTTAATTACTAACCAATTTCTGAATATGAATTCTGTACGTTTTTGCCCCCCAAAAATATGCGAGGAGGCACCAAACCAATTCCATTTATATACAGAGACCCGCCCCTCGCCCACCCTAATACAGACCACCCCCTATTGTGTCAGTCTGTCCCCTGTACGTGTACGCGGCCTAGGAAGGCTGGCGGTGCCACTGCTATAGACAGTGAATATTTGTTATAATAATTATTTTATCATTTTAGGTAGGAAAGCATTAGCAAGTCTAACCAAAGAAAATTTGAACTATCGTTACGCTTCAGATGACCAATCACGTAAGAAAGTTATAATCCGTGAATTTTTTTAAATATTTTTTAATATATTATAACAATAACTTTTTCTTTATGCAACGAGGTATTGTCTTGTAAAGTCTAAAGTAAGAACCTGAATGAGGACACAGGTTTTGTCAGAATTTAATAAAAGTTTGTGGGTAGGGTTATATAATAGAATATTTGGGATAAGTTCGAATCTGGGTACAAGCCGACAAATATTGAAGTATTGAAGAGACGAATGTAGAAGTAGAGATATATCTTTCTTTATTTTCTAGTTTTCATTGATGACAAATTAGCTGTCAAGATTTCCAAAAAGGTCAAAATATTGTGTTGGATCACCACCCAGGAATCGGCCATGAAGACAAAAGTCAAAACTGTCAATTCCACTTGGGCGAAACGCTGCGATAAAATGCTTTACGTTGTCACTGGTGATACTACAAAAGAAACTAAAGACGGCGTCCTAAAAATAAATGTACCAGACGGACGCAATCATTTAACCGCCAAAACTGTTCAGGTGCTTAAGTACGTTCATAATCATTATTTGAATAGATTTGATTGGTTTTTAAAAGCTGATGACGACACTTTTATTGTGGTGGAGAATTTAAAATTCCTTTTATCCAAGTATAACCCTAAGAAACCAATATATCTCGGACATTTATTTAAGAAGTATAGTAAGTATGGATATATGAGCGGTGGGGCTGGCTATGTGTTAAGTAGAAATGCGTTAGGTATTTTGGTCAAGAAAGGATACAAGAAAAAGGTAAGCTAACAATAATTCTTCTGCTTAGTCGCATGAAGGGTCCCAGAGGGTTGTCGCTGGAGAAAATTTTTTGTAGATATAATTGATGTATTCTGACACATTTAGAGACCAAAACGTATAAAAATAATATATTTCAATATTTTAAGAAGGGAAATTGGAGTACAATTTGGAGTCCAACCCGTTTTTCTTTGGACAAAATGTCCCCCTTATATTCCGCTGGCGCTACCACTGTATGAGTTGATTTGACTCGTGAGTTTCTGAGCTTTCCGAGCTTTCTGGGCTTGAGATGTCAAAATATCTTCCCGAGCTCACAGTACTTAGTACTAACGGTATTGATAAAACTAGTAGGCCTAAAACCATATTTCCTAGGTTTATCGTGATGATGTTCTCATGTACAGTTCTAACCCCAAAGGACACACAGCGGTGTAGGCGAAAGAAAACTTGCAGGTCATCGCGCTTAAAGGGATTGTAAAGAGGTTTTTTAAAAATGTATGTGTATCAGGACACTGATAGCTTCAATTTGCACCATTCCAATTTTCAATCAGACGTCTGTTGTTCTTACAATTCCACTAAAACTAACGTGTTTTATGACGCCACTAGAGGAGAGCTACCGGAAGCTACTATTGATATATAATGCAGATCTCCTTTAGTGACGTCATAAAACGCCTTTTTGCTAATAGAAATTCAAGACAAACAGACGTCGGAATGATTCGACCAGATATGGTGTGGTGATTGGCAGCACCATACTTTTTGCGATGGGTTTCCTTATTTTCAAATACTTATATGAATAGAAAATAGAGGTGTTCTAATGACTTGGAAAAATACAAGTTTTTCCATGTCCATAATCAATTCACGATTAGCTAAATTAGTATAGACTTACCAGCAGAATTCCAATGAGTGACCGATCTAGAAACTCTTTTTTGTTTATCCAGACTGCACATACATGGGCATTTATGATTGGTTAAAACTCTTAATTATATGCAAGAAGAACATAATGATATGATACATGATAATTCATTAGAAACACCAATTAATCAATAATTCGACATTAAAAAAATATAGAAATACATCTTTCTACCTAAATATTGACCGAGGAAATAAGGTCATGCAAAAGATTTCCCTGTCATAATTTCGCATAATTTAAGAATTCGGACGTGTTATATACATATTTTTTCTAGAATAAATGCAAGGAGGATGGTGGTGATGAAGATGTAGAAATAGCTCAGTGTCTGCAGTATTTAAATATAGTGGTCTATAATACTTTGGATAGTTTTGGACGAGAATCGTTCCATCCGTTTGGTATCTCTACGCATATTGTTGGTCCTGAACCAGCAGGCCTTACAGAATGGGACAGAAACAAACCACAAATAGTAAGAAATATAGTCCCGGTCAATCGAATTTAGCGACAGGAAAACCGAGAAGCTGTACCAAGATGTCAAAGCCTTAGGGTGTCCTAAAAACAGTGTTAGAAGTTCAAGGGACAGCGGCTAATTTTGGGGGGTTGATTTTAGTCTTGAATATTATTATTTAAATAGTCTTTAGAAGTACTAGAAATGTACGAATATTCTTTTAAAATTCTTCAAACTAGGATTTTTTTTTTACTATTTCTATATGTCTTTTCTATATATCATAGAGTATCTTAAAGTGATGAGTCGTCATATTAACATTCAAAAACAGATAATTCTGGACATACACATTTGAAGGCTCAAATTTCGACGGTGAGATGCGAACACTATAACTGATTAGCTTAGCTAAAAAAATTCCAGTTTCTGAGACTGGATTGATAAAAAAAAATGTCTATCGGTCCGTATAAGACTATAGGACATCCTAGCGCTTAGTTCGTTTCGAGAATACGCGGCCATATGAATCCAAAGGATTGTTCAGTGAGGCGGAATAACTACCCACAACGTTCCAGAGCACACATTTTATATATTCCTCTGTCTGGAATAAGCAAACATCTCCTTATGCTACACCAACATCTACAACACTGAAATAGTACGGTAAAAACATTCTAGCGTAACACTTCTAGATCCGAATTATCAATTTTGTTGACCCCCTTGCAATGATCAATAATTTGTCCAAGTTTGAGAATGTGGTCTTCACCGTATTCTTTGTTAATTTCAGGGAAGGAATTGTTGTAGTCAGTTATTGATATCATTCCATTATGTAAAACCGGATATGATGTTGATAATAGAACATCTGTTATATAGAACCAGTGTATATGGCAGGAAGGTTGAAGAAACCGGTTTACAGGATTTGTTCGAAATTGGACCGGTTCCACCACTAGACAAATGGGACTAACTACATTAATGCTTTTGATAAATAAATTATTTTTGTTCTCAGCGACACTTTTTACTTTATGTGTATGGAGGTATAACGTTGCCAAAATTTTCGATTGTCCAAGGCTTGATAATGCAAAGTGTAAAATAAAATACAAAGAATTAAATGTTATCTGTATTCGGGATTTTGGAGAATACTTTTACATTTTGCATTTTTACATATCGACAATTGTACAATTGTACATTGCAAATTTTGTAATGGCAACATTGGTATTTTCAAGCTGCAACACAATCGACAATTTTGGCAACATTATACCTCGATATGTGAGCAACAAATTCGACCAAGAAGACTTGCATACGAACAAATCTTTCCAAAGGGTTCCTAGTCAATGAACAGCGCTAATGAAAGTCATTCAAACTTCATCGATATAGATGTCCCCAGTTATAGTTTATATTTTGGAGCAAGGTTTGATTCTGAGATCTTATAAAGTTTTACCTGTTACAAATATAGATATTTAGTTTGGAGATAAAGAAAGATAATCGTCCGTAAGAGTTTAACCTCTCCCGAACTTGAATAACATGGATGGAAATATAAAAATATGTTAGGTCAAGACTCTACTGTGAAGTAGCTAGGCTAAAATATAAAAACTAAAAAAAAAAAAAAAAAAAAAAAAAAAAAAAAACGAAACGAAAGTTGGGTCTACTTTTAATTATACTGGATGATGTCATTAAGAAATGAAATTTTCCTTTTTTCTACCTAAGTCAGTACGTGGTAATGTAAAAGTAGGTCAATTCGTGATATTGGTGATAAACTAATTTTGGGCAGATCGTATATGCTAAACCATCCAACCAACATCACTGACAAGCTGGTATTGAAGCATCCTACCTCATCCACTCCTGATAAGCTATCTTAACCAGGATATGTCTGGTAGATAACATAATATAGGATGATTAAATGATCAAAGATTATTATTATTAGCTATGTTAGTTATCTTCCTGAAAGATATTTTAGGGGATACCTGTCAGGTCTTAGACACGGTCTAAACATATATCTCATCATTATCAGTAGTAAAAGCTGTAGCTCAGACGCAATACTAAAATCGTAAGTAACAGTCTGAATTATTTTATTTACATTCATATTGTTTTTTAGGAAATTTGTCACACCAAAATAGGCAAATATAGGATTTTCGAGTTGAACCAGTATAAAACCAAAATATTGAATATTCTTCAATCTCGTATTTTCTGTAGAACACTTGAACAAACATTGCTGGTACCACTAAAAACAACGTTTATTATTTCAAGCCGTGAATAGACGATGTATGGTGCGGGATTATCGATACAGTACTAAATATAACAATGTGAACACACCTCGCCTCTATTATTTTCTACTGTCAAAAGTCAGTCAATATCATCTCAGATACTATAGCATCATCTCATATAGAAGTCAGTCAATATCATTTCAGATACTTTAGCATCATCTCATATAGAAGTCAGTCAATATCATCTCAGATACTATAGCATCATCTCATATAGAAGTCAGTCAATATCATCTCAGATAATATACCACCATCTCATATCTTAGTTATAGTCAGTCAATATCATTTCCGATACTTTAGCATCATCTCATATAGAAGTCAGTCAATATCATTTCAGATACTTTAGCATCATCTCATATAGAAGTCAGTCAATATCATCTCAGATACTATAGCATCATCTCATATAGAAGTCAGTCAATATCATTTCAGATACTTTAGCATCATCTCATATAGAAGTCAGTCAATATCATCTCAGATACTATAGCATCATCCCATATAGAAGTCAGTCAATATCATCTCACAATATCCTGGGGATATAAATTTAGAACCTTACACGGCGGCGCACTCGCATGCCTCTAACACCCTAATGTAATCCCTTACAGTCTTACCAAATTTTAGTAAAATCCATACAAAGAAACCCGTGAAATTATTTGCTGGCCAGCAATCTACATAACTATTATACCTAACAAGAAACCTGATGGAAACTAACACAAACCTAACTTAAAAGAGAAATTCGAGTGTGGGAGCGTGTAAGGGGTGGTCACACCAGAGCGAATATATCTTGATGAGACGATACCCGATAATCTGAATTTAATCGTGATGCTTTCTCGTTGGTCTGGTCAAAATATTTGCCATTACAAATATCTGAATACAGCATAGCTGTAATACTTATCAGAATGCAAATACGTCAGGTTCGTCTGCGACAGAACTGTCGATACTTCATTATCAACATTCTCCAGTGGAATGCAGTTTTTACCGATGTCGTTTTAACATCTTCATTTGAAGTTGAAGTATTATATACCATTGTTATTTTTTCTGTTCTATCTTTTCTTTTCACCTTATTGTACTGTTTTTATATTTGTATGCTGCCAACAATGGTGGTATATGCAGTAAATCTTATACTAAGGTACATTGTTCCTTTCATAAACCTGCTTTTCGATTTTGCCAGTAACTGGAGCAGGTTTTTCAGGAGACTTTGGCCTCTTGGTTTACCATTCAGTCTTAGATAGCTTTTTGTTAATGTTTTAATTCACCATAGAGTATCATTTAACTTGATCACCTACAAAATATGTTACAGTCATCTTGATTTATCAAGAGGGGTCGAGCCGACTGACGGACGCCCTTGACAAATCAAGATAGTAAACTTCTCTGCGTATAAAACCGAATTAGCTATTACATACATAATATAATATAATATTGATTAGCATAAAATATTATTATTAATAAGGGATGGGAGTGGGGCTGGGCCAGTGTACAGTACTTATTTAGGGTAAGCAAGCGTTATTAGGAAAAGCATTATTTAGGGAAAGCATTATTTAGGGTAAGAAAGCCCTGTAGAACTAAGGCGTTAAATTATATTTTCGGAGTTGATTTGAGTCTAGAAATATGTAAATAGTGGTCAGATGTACCATTAGCCCGCATGGTGCAGAGAAGTAGGACGTAAAACTCCATTCATTTCATTTTTTTCATCTAAACAAGTTTCCTGAATTCATGAAAAAGAATTGAATTTGTGAAATAAAGAGGCTATTACATAAGGGAATTTTGGTGTTAACATTGTTTGGGTTAATGTGATAACTTGGCCACCACCACAAAGTAACAACGCAGAAACAAAGAAATAGGAAAGAGTAAAATTCCCGTTCTAAACAGACTCTTTTCAACAAATTAACCTCCAGAAAATCTCAATTTAGATTGCCACAGTGAGAAGAGGCAATTGCCATACCACCTAACAGAAAAAAAGACATCATTAATATTGAAGCACCAAGAAAAACACATCAAGTCATTTGATCTCTTCTCTATGTTCAAAAGAAGGTAAAATAAAAAATACAATACAAATACCACACTATTTCCAGATCTCTTTCAACAAATCGAGATCAATACATAAGTACAAGTAGATCAATATCCCCATATTGCAGTTTATTAAGAAACGTGTACGGTGATGATACAAATCAACTTCTACAGTGACTCCAGCCGATATGTCGACTGCTGAATTTGATTAGCTATTGCCCGTTGCTATGTTCCTGACGATAGTGAGCGACCGATTCGATTGTTGTTCCGGGCTTAGGTGGTGCCATTGTTGGTCTTGCAGGGGTCCGCGAGGCGGTTTATTGCGTGAGCATAGCATGGAAAGCAGATCTGACTCCTGAGGCAGACTTTCAGAATGCTGAACGAGAGCTGATCCGGACTGACGTGTATTGGAAGTATGGAGTATGCTGTTGGTGCGTGTTAGGTGTTCGTAGTGCGGGAATGAGTAGATGTTTGGGCGTTAGGTATATTAATGTTGGACAAGGTGGTGGTCGAGGCGATCAATTAGTGTTGGGTAGGACATCATCTGATAATTATTCAAGCTTCGATAAAGGTATTTCTCACACCCTTCCAAACTCAAACCTCTAACGACCCTAACGTTAGCACTGTACGTCCATACTAAGTTTCGATAAAATCCATACAAAGAAACCAAATGAAATAATTCGTTGGCCAGCAAACCTCTTATGACTATTAGGCTTAATGAGAAACCTAACCTAAACCTAACACAAACCTAACTCGAGAGAGAAACGAGAATGGGAGGATGTAGGGGATAACTAAATCGGAACTAGCATGATTTTCAGATATTGACGTAACTAACACCAATTGATAGCCATGAACACCAACATTTAGAGACCCAACACCCAGGTATCTGCTTAACCCTGGCACCAAGAACACCTAACATGTACCAACGGGATACTCCACAGTTCCAGCACATACCAGTCTGGAGCAGCTTTCGTCAGGCATTTTGCGAACCAGCCTCGAGAGTCAGAGCAGCTTTCCATGAATGTTCATTCAATTGGCCGCTTCGATCACTCTTGGAAAACCAACATCAGCACGACCTCAGCTCGGCACAGAAAGCCAGTCGTCTGCCCACTGTCGTCAGAAACAGAAAAAGAGACATCACCTAATCCAGTTCACCGGTCGAGGTTTCGGTCAAACTCATGTAGATGACTGGTACTGCCAACTTAACAAGAAAATTCAGTAATCCTTCAGCCATCTGATTGCAAACCCATTTAAAGGATATAAAAGATACCTACACGAATCAACCACACGACTCTTTGTCTGGACATTTCTTGACATTCAGAAACCAATAATTACCAAAGTCAACCATCATGTTAACGTCATTTATTAACTCATTCGAATTTGAGCAACTTAGATTTGAATATCAACCCCGTTATGGATTAGAAATCTGAAAAGAAAAATATTCTTTTAGAATATTGTTATAGACATTGATATGACAATAATCTTTGAGGAAATCTGTTAAATCCAGACTGTTAAGCGTTGTATAGATAAAATAGTCAAAATTCTTAGAAAGAAATAATAACGACATAAATGTCGGGGTGAAAACTGGTACATTGCAGGTCCAGATACATTAAAAATACACACTTGAAAGAGGGACACGGAAGAGACGAAAATACGAATTTGACTTTCAACAAATAATAAAAGTATAAAAATAACAAATCTT